GCACACGGCCATCAACATCTGGCAGCAGCACCTTGCTGCAGCACCAGCACCCAGTCTCCAAAAGAACCCTGTGAAGCGGCACCAGCACTCAGGCTCCAAAGCGCACAAACACCCTGCAAAGGAGGCACCTCTTTCAAGTCCTAGACTTGAAGTAAGAACCCCAATAAATAGCTCTCCCTCGCTATCTTGGGAGATGCCCATGCGAAAACCTGAGAAAGGAGAGGACGAAAGCCAGCGAGAGACCAATATGGCAGTGCAAGACTGGGAGGAAAAAATAGCGGAGCACTTATTGTTGAATGCCTGTAGCTTTCGTGGAGCTTGTATCAACGTGGAGTAGACCAAGATCGGAGCACAGCATGAAGTGTTGAATGCTTTAGGTTTTCTCGATTTTCCTGGCGCGGTGCTCTCTGGAACGTCCCTGTTTGGTGGTCTAGTTGAGAATCCGTGTAAAAATAAACGTCAGTGAAAACCAGGAGAAGGATGCCCGAAAGCTGGTTTTTGGTTGTGTTTCGGGCATCGTGCATCAATGCGAAGCCCTATAAAGAGCGGGCCTGAGAGAAAAAAAAGAGGCGAGCACTCATTCTTGAATGGTTGTAGTTTTCGTGGAGCTGGTATCGCTGCGACGTAGATGAAGATCGGTTTTTAGTATTATTGATTTGCTTGGTGCGGCGCCTTCTGGAGCGTCTCTTGTTGGTGTTCTATTGAGAATCCGTGCAAAAATAAACGTCAGTGAACACCAGGAGAATGATGCCCGAAATGGTTTTTGTGGTTGTGTTGAAATGTGTTTCGGGTATCATGCATCAATGCGAAACCTATAGAGAGCAGGGCTGGGAGGAAAAAATAGCAAAGCACCTATTGTAGTTTTGTGGAGCTGGTATCGCTGCGACTGAGATCAAGATCGGAGCACAGCATGAAGTGCTGAACGCTTGCAGCTTTCTTGCATCTCCTCTTGCGGCGCTCTTATCCCCAAGCCTCTACCTCGCTCAACTGGACATACTCACACCCAGAGCGTTCACTCTTTGTTGCTTGGTCCTTCTTGGTACGATGAGAGCTACACAGTCCCTATGCCCTGCTCAGGACTAGAAAAATTGTCTCCAGACCCCTTCATGATGCTGATGATGCACTACTCGGCGTCCATTGCATCACTCGCATCACCAGACCCCATTTTCACCGCGTTTCTGACCCTCGCTTTGGAGCGCTCTCCCCCACCAATCTCCGGGTTCACCCTCTCAAAAGGTGCCTTTTTGCGCCCTCCCCCCCCACACCCCCTTAACTCACTTCGTTCGCTCTAAGAGCTCAAGCCTAGCCTATCGGCTGGCTTCCGTAATAGTCGTAAACCGATGGAATAGCTGGAATATGTGCATGTTGCATGTCCTCAAAATCTCTCAAACTGAGTGGAATCATGAATGAAAACCGACGCGACTTTCCGAAGAGCTTTGGACGCAAGGAACTGCAACATGTTGTGCAAACTGGTGCGACTAAAGTGTCTGAGAATGGCTTGTTGATAAAATATTGGCGTAACCTTTCCCAAACCACAAGTGTTCCATTGCCAACTGCACTGACACGCCTGGAAATGACATCGTTGCTTCCTGTAGTTGTCTTGCATGGAAACAAATTCAATGAAATTCAACATGTTTTGGTGTAGCTCCTTCGATTCAATTCCTCAGTTTGCCTGCCGGTTCATGGCAATGCATGCTGTGCACAAGCCAGCTGTCAGTTCGTACGCATACGCATACCCCTCATCACTGCTCAACCAATTCCTGCCTTTGGCCTTGAATATCACCTCATCAAGAGAAGCACTAGTATCAAGAGAAATCCTGTATTGTGTCGCTGGGCTCCCAGTCCTGCGTGTAGGATGACTTCTTCTGCATGTCGAACTTGTTGAGCTCATTTTGCAGTGTCCAGGATGCGTTGTACGTTCGAAATACCTTTGCTGACAAGTCCTCCATGAAGGTCTTGAAATACCTTTGCACGCAGGGAAGAAAGGTCTGAAGCACGCTGTACAATCAAGCATCAAGGAACAATGACACATGTTCAAAGACTACAAGAATCAAATCAAGTGTTCTTTTGCCAAAAAAGCCAAAAGACTCATTCAAGTCTGCTGGCGCAATTTTGTCAAAGACTTGCGCAGTCTTGGGTTTCCCCTCGATGAACTTTTTGACGTTGTCAAAGACCTCCTTGGTGACTTCCACGGAATTTGTATATCGGATTGAGTCTTTGCCCAGAAAGTCCAGATGGATTGTCAAAGGCTCAGTGAGCTGAAGGTGTTCTACTCGGAGAGAGCAGCAACCAACAGTGTCTGCCTCTTCTTCAGTGTCTTTTTCGCCACCAACCCGGAGTGCAAGTTTGTCAATGAAGTATGTCGCAGTAGCCTTTTGCCTATCTGCCACGTTCTTGCTCTGCTGCAACTTTTCGTATGAAGCCCGAATCTTGTCAATAATACTCACAAGTCGCTTGGCTCTGTCATACTTAAGCATGTCTGGCTGGCCCTTTAAGCCACTAGTAGCAGCAAAAGACACGTATTTGCTGTCGCCCAGCAATCCGTCTTCAAAAGTTGCAATCCACTGCACTGTATTTTCATGAACAACATCCCTCCAAGCATGGCCAGGCATTCCACAAACTTTTGGAACGCAAGCTGTTTCAGCAATATTGAGAGTCACACCTTGCATGATGGGAAAGAGCCATCAACTTGCAACGCATTCCAATACAAATCTGTGTTGGTGTGTATCCAACTCGTTTTGATCCAAAAGCTTTAGTCGCAAACAAATATGTTTATGTGTATCTGTATATGTGCTATGCATTTGCACCTTGGTATGCAATGTGTCTTTTAACATGCTCTACATTGATCTATATTTGAGAACAGTTAGATAAGTCTATATAGCTTCAGCAAACTGAGTGCAAAAAAGGCGTGTCTTGCAAAACGGTTTCTCATAAGTCCAAGCTCAGGAGCTCTCAGGAAAGGTCCGCTTCTTGAGAAGGCCTTGCTTCGGATGCTCTCCACGTCCCCGGAAAAGTTGAGGAGGTTCCAATCTGAAACAAGTCTAAAAGCAGCTTTTTTGAAGCTATCAGGCCTATACAAAGAGTCTGTCAAAGCAAGTCAAGGCCTGGCCTGAAATTTCCCAACTTCTCTCGGACACCATTCACAATGGCATGACCTCGAACCAGTGCAAGCAAGCAGCATCAATTTTGTTTGCTGAACTCATCTGAACATCTGAGAGCCGTACTGTACCACTCAGTGTCCTTTGCATTTTTTGCTTTCTCAGCCTCCTTGCACAGCAGCAAAATGGAAGCAGTCCCTTTCAAATCAACTGGAGAAAAGTAGGCAAGGCCATCAGCCACGGCCATACTTGTGAAGGAGTGTCTTGTCTTCATGAGCTATGTAATGACTTGCCAGGCAAGACCAGGCCACCTTCTCTTCTTTTGATCTATTCAATCGCTTCTGGCGTTCTGCTTCCCGATGCGCTTGCCTTATGTATGAAGCTTGCACATTATCCCTTTCACAATTCCAGTCACATAAAACCTGACCTGGTGGAACTCTTGCAAACGGTCAATGAGATTGCAAAGTTGCAGCTTTGAAAAGTCGCACTTGATGAAATCCTTAATGGGAGAGCCTTTGGGCAGGTATTCTTTGAATGTCTTCCAAAAATTCTTGATGAAAATGTCCTGGCAACAAGGCCAAAGGAAGGTATGTCAAAAGCAAAAGTGAATCTCGTTGTGCTCACTCCTTCACTTCGTATGGAGTGCCCTTAACTGAGGTCCAATAATACGCAATTTCTTCCTGGGCCAACGCGAACCGTTAAGCATTGATTTTGATAAAACGCCAGGAACCGAATCAGTGCGTGGGCGGCATGCACTGTGACACTCAGCGCAGCTGGAGTGGCAGCTTCTGGCGGTAGCACAACATCTTCTCCATTATACACGAGTGGAATGCCAATTGGCTCGTAATCTGGCGCAAACAAAAGCCTCAGCCCGGAGTGATGTGAAGGGTTCCCTGGCAAACCTATTTTCAACTCGTTGCATCTTGCCGCCATAAAGGCCAAGGGGGCCGAGGGGCCCATGATGCTCAAAGGTGTCCCACTTCTTTGCACCGCGCTTGCCACTTTCAGCTCCATCAGCACGTTCCCACCATCGATTAACCGGTTCATAGTCGTCTTCAGTCCTTAGGAAAGTATCTGAGCAAACCGGGACAAAGAGAGTTGCGAAGACCCTGAATGAATGACGTGAAACGTTTGAAAGCAGAATGTTTGCCATGATTCTTCAGCAAGACCTTCTTCTGCTCAACGGCTGCGGTTTTCTTTTTCTTGCTCACGGGGAGGTGCTTGAGGGCCAATTTTCTCCTCAGTTGATGCATGACATGAGCTCTCCTCAAGCAAGTTCCTTCCAACATCCCCAGTGTGGAGTTTGCAGTCCAGTACGGCATCAAAGCGTCTTCATATTCTCTCCGGTTTCGTCTTTGTTCTTTTTGTCTTTCTTCTCCTTTTTGTCTTTCTTATGCTTTTCCTTCAGCATGAAGCACAGCACAGTTGGACGCCTTGACCCGCCTTTCAAACTGCCAGAGTCCTTGTGCTTCTTTTCTTTTTTTCTTTCTTGTCCTTGTGTTTCTTGTCCTTTTTCACCTTTTGCTCACTTCCATCTTTCTTCTCCTTCTCTCCTTTCTCCTTTTTCTCCTTCTTCTCTTTCTTCTCCTTCTCTTTTTTTTCCTTCTTCTCTTTGCCCTCTTTTTCCTTCAATTCTTTGGTGGCCTCATCCTGCACTCCAGCACTTTCGCTATGCAAACTTGCACGCAGTGCAGCTACCCTAGGAACATATGGAAACTCCTTCGCAAGCTCCGCCATCCCCAAGAACTGAGCGCTTTCTCTTTCGGAAAGCACGGGACATGACAGTCAAACTCAACTTGAGCCAAGCAAAGGCAAACGAGGCAAAGAGTCTCCAGATGTGCTTGGCATGGGGCCATGGCCCCAACTTTGCAGACTCACAAGTTAAGTCTCTGGGCTAGAAGCCATCCATCGGCTCGCTCTGGTTGCTGAGGTTGCTGTCATTACTTCCTGCGAAGGCAAAGCCGCCCCCTCAGCTGTGACTCAGCTGCGGACGTGCATAACTTAGTTTCAATTGCCAAACTTTTGCATATTGTATGTCCTCCATTGCCACCTCTCTCCTCGGCAACGGCCACAAACACAATCACAAAGTGTAGTGGAGCAACAGCCCAAACGTTCATTGGAGCACTTTGTGAAACAACAAGCACACAGACACACAAAAATTGAGCCCAGGAACCCGAATGCACACACGCACTCGAAAACAAAGGGCCAACCATTGACATTCTTGTGGGACACTCTTGCACGACACTCTTGTAGGAGACGCTCTTGTGGGACACTCCTGCGGGACACTCTTGCAGGACACCCTTGTAAGCTAGGAGACGTTCTTTGCAAGGCATTTTCGCAGGACACTCTTGCAGGAGACACTCCTGTGGGACATTATTGTGGGACACTCTCGTTGGACACTCTTGTGGGACGCTCTTGTGGGACACTCTCGTAGGACACTCTTGCGGGACATTTTTGTGGGACATGCTTGCGGGACACCCTTGCAGGACACTTTTGTGATGGGACACCCTGGTGGGACGCTCTTGTGGGACCCTCTTGTGGCACAGTCTTGTAGAATCCAACTTGTAGAACACTCTTGTGGGACACTCTCGTGATTCTTGTGGGACACTCACTCTAGCAGCTAGCATGACCCTCTTGTAGGACACTCTCGTAGGAGACGCTCTGGCGGGACACTTTTGCAAAGAACCCTTGTAGAAAACAAGTCCCGCGTCAAGTCTCCAAAACGAGCGCTTCTACGAAACCCCCTCCTAAAGTTCAAAAGTTCTAAAATTCAAGCGAATTCAAGCGTCAACTCTGCAAAACAAGTTTTTCTTACGAGGCATCCTTCGAAAGTCATTCGTCAAGTCTGCACAACAAGCGTTTCGTACTAGACTCTACTAGACTTCCTCCAGCGATCAAACTTCAACGCTCCAAAACAAGCGTTGGCGCGAGACTCCATTTCAAAAGTGAAGCGCAAAGTCTGAGCGAACACTTCAAGCAGCCCTGCCAAGCAGCTTCGCAACGCCAGCCCCTCAAAATCACACCCGCTGACATACCAACCCCAATGGCACAGCAACATTCACCCCACCAAACGTCACAACCTCTCGATTCCCGGAAGCTGCCACAAAAATTCGGCTTCCACACCTAAACTATGCACGAAGCACTGCACCTGCCACAAAGAGTGACAACATTACATCTTCATGCAAAATTTGCACCCCACAACATGTTTGGAATGATTTCGACACTTTCTGAGCACACCAACATCCGCCAAGCTCGCAATTTTAGCTGAGACTTCTCACGACAACACAGCTTCGAGGCAACAGCCTCAACCACAAATCCTAATGTCACAGCACCCTGCGAATGCCAATCCCACTGTCACAGCGAAGGAAATTGAGGGTCTCA